GACCGAAACGTCCGACGTTGACATTATATTAACATTAAAACAGCATAATTGCATATTAGGATTTTTGTTTGTTTTTTCCGTATATTTTTCTTCATACTGTCGGATCTATATCCATATATTTGCTTACACATATATATATATATATATATATATATATATAAGCGGCAACAACTTCATACTCGGTGAGTTTCTTGGATACGTTTGTCGGATGAGTGTTGCCTTGGCTGGTGGTATATCATTGTCTTTGTCATTTCAAAAGTATCTGACAACTTTGGATCGCACCAGTTGACTTGTAATTTATGCTCAAATCCTCATACACCACTGGAGACGTATTTTTTATCGTTATTTTCGGAATAGCTTTTCATGGACGCTAGCCGTAACACTTTCGTCACGTTGTTTACATGTATACAGAAACCATGTATTATAAAATTACTGCCTGAAATTTTTGATATATATATATATCGCACTATACTGACGCACTTCTTTTTGATTTGGTTTCACTTCTCTTAACCATTATCCATGATAGCACCGTGAACTTATTCAAACATTTAACAGTCTAAAGAATACCAGGATGTAGCCAACGGAATCTGGCACATCAGACGGTCAGCACATGGTTCTTGAAAATGAATAATACCGCCGAAGATATGTTAATAATTTTACCCAAGCAAGGTAGTAGAGCCCCTAAAACAAAAGGGTTACTGAGTGTGAAAGAATAAGAAAAATAAAACAGAGAAACATTATTAATGAGCGAGAAAAATAGAAGAGTAATCAAGAAGAGAGTAGATGACGATTAGCATTGCATTTACATTTTTGAACGTCAAATTTGGCTGGAAAGCATGGAACCGGAAGAATTGCACAAGAGAGAAATGCTAGAAAAGAAACTGATGACAAAGTGCTGATAGGAAATACGAAAAAGAAAATTACAGAACCGTCTACAGACGGTACCGAAGGAGAGCAAGAAGAATGGACTAAGCATACACTACAAGAAAGCAGAATGCTTGATTATTAGCAATAAAGTACGCCCAAAATGCAAAATAAAGTTCGTGGATGCGAAAATCAAGCAGGTACACAAATTTAAATGGTCCAGTGGGTATGAGTATTGCCTTATATCGTAACAGTCCGAGTTCGATTCTCGGTAATGAATGCTCACTGCTGATGACTTTAAAAACGAAACGGCCGTCCAGTGCAGAAAGCATTCTGTTAAGGATTCTTCCAGACTCGATGAAATCTTAGCGCATGGTAAATTTTTCGAAAGGCTTTTAAGTGTCATTCGTTAGACAGAACATCTCGGTATCCTAGCATGAAGTTAAAAGTCCATCTTGATAAAGGGTTTGAAGCAGTGGCCTTGTTAAAAAAATGATCATGCACCCTTTTCCAGAAATTGTACTTAACGTTCGCACATCATAGTTGTACTATTCGCCATCGGCGTCTGTGATAGGTTTTTGCTTAGCAATTCTGGGAGAGACTGAGCAATTATTATAAATGTCTTTATTTACAGGGTTATTAAAAAAGAATGAACTGATTTCATATCTTCAGTTCTCGAGCATCGCCATGGAATGAGTCGGTGACCATTTGAAAAAAGGAATTTTCTAAGTTTCCGATGGCTGAAACACGGACGCTGTAGAGGCGTCGTATTTCCGGCAAGGTTCAGTTTTTTTGTTTACACCCGGAGTGCCCAGTTCGCACTTCTGAGTTCGAAAACAAATACAGTTGTCATAGTGAAGCGTGCTTTTTGAAGACAATTCAACATTACTACGTTCAATCCTAAAAACATTCGATAGTGGTTTAAACAGTTTCAAAAGAGTGGGTGCCTGTGTAAAGGAAAAAAGTCCAGGATGACCACCAGTTTAGGAGGAACCACAAAACACCCGTTGCCAGTATAGATCTATTGCCTCATATGATCTCTTCTACTAGAAAAATCAACTTCTCTTCATGTGGAAGCTTAACTCACCTGAGGTGACACTATATGCTAAATCAGTCGGGTTTCGATCCCGGCTTGAGGCTAACGGATGACTAGCCACACTGATGAGAAACAGTCTGTGGATATCTGTCTATCTATCTAGTTTGTGTGTTGGGTATGACAAAAAGGCATACACCCTTGAAAATAATATAAACGCAATATAATTTTTAATTCCATGACCCTTCAGAATATAGATGGCCATGGCTCTCCCCATCTTCCCCCATTTCCTTCTTCCTACTTATTTTTTTATTCCGAGGGGTTTGTTAGAATTTGTACGACTTAGGGCGGGTATTCCTAGTTTGTCCTGTTGGATAAACTGGGACGAGAAGAGCTGATCTCCTTTCTTTTTCCAATGGTATTTTTGCAAAAGTGGACGCCACGGACTTGACAGGAATTCAAAGCCGGCTCGTAGATTCCTCTTTTCACACCGGAAACGTAAACAAAAACCGCATATTCTTCAATAAGATCTGCGATAATTAACTAGATTTTTCATTAAAAAAAAATCGTAGGTAATAATTTTCAGATTGAAAATCGTAGTCCGCTTGGATTTCTCATTGTCTAATATTAGGTCCATTCCAATCTTGATGATAGCATTACGGTTTCTTTTAAAAATCTAATTTTGACACTTAAAGCGTCATTTGACCTTATGGTGAAATAACGCTTGAAGTTTCATAATCTTGCCTACGGTTGAAAGGTCTTCAACAAAACAATAGCACAACCATAAACTTGAGGTAGTTTATCTACACTTTCATTCCCGATAGACAAATTCTAAAATTGGAAAACGTACAATGAAAATTAAACTGTTATGTTTTGCAAATCTCTCTGTGTAGCACTAGTCGTAGTACAGGTCTGCATGTCCTGAATAGCAATCGGGTTTGTAGACATAGCCACCCTATGTTCGCCAGTTGTCCTCTATTTATACTTGTCTATCTAATTTGTATATCACACTACACTGACTTTGTCGCTTCTATTTAGTTAAACTTGTTTGGAGATGTATGATACTCTGCAAACATTCGTTTATTTATCGCTCTTTTTTTCACAATCGCTGAAATACATTTGCGATTTTCAGATTAAATTTTCTTGAGATAAGCAACGATATAATAAAGTCTCTTTTACGCAGTATTTCGTATGTGATAGGCATAATAGATATGTGAATTACTGTGCCAAAAACACTCCTATCGATATTGAATAAATCAGAATTTAGAGGAAGGATTGATTGTCCAGACTCCGGCATTTTTATTGTTTTTGAGATTGAGAAATACTCCAGGAATATGAGGTGTATTACTGTCGCTAAATCTCCAACGTTAAACCTAAGACGGTTATTCGCTATCGGGAAATAAACAAAGATTGGGCGAATAGCAGGGCATCGGTTGTCAATTAGAACAAAATCTAGGAAGCGAAATTGGGCAGACGGAACTATACTTGTGTTAGCACGAAGTCACAAGTCATCGTGACCGAGCGTACTGGAATTGTTAAAATTGTTGATCACGCCTGATAATGCGCTCTGTTCTAGAAACTGTAACTGAGGTCAGCTCAGTCAACTTGGAGTTTAGACCACAGGTGGGCTCTGTGGCTGTTGAACTAGTATAAATTGTTGCTGCTAGACAATCCCTGCAGAGATTGGCTGGCGGCTCTAGACAATCATACACGAATTCAAGTGGCCATCCATTTTATTAGTCGGCTTTATCTCGTATCCAAGAATTGAATTCTTTCCTGATCGCTTCTTTTATCATGATGGCGTTGATGACTAAGTAGACCAATTCTTGCCTGGAAGAGCCGATGACATTGACTGTATAGTAAAGGTTAGTGAAGAACGAGGTCGATTTTATCGAGCCTTTCTTCCTTGTTGTTTGACGTCTCCGTTTTATCTTCTGGTGGCTTCCATGTTTTTTGTTTCGATGGTGATGGAAGATCGACAGTAGGTACGTTCTTGTCCTTGTGTCAATATAATTACTTTCAAGTCGAGTGGCTTTTAGTGCTATTTTCAGTTGGTCCTTGTATCTTTGAAGAGAGCAACTCAGTGGTTGTTTCCCTGGCGTTAGCTCATTCCATTCTTGCTACTTGTCCTAAACCATCGAAGACCATATTATTAGCGATTCGATGCTATGATTATTGGCTTTTTAAAGGAATTTGGTGTTGGTCACATAGTAAATCCATTTATTTATTCTAATTTAATAGTCAAGCAGCCCCTTTTGATTTCAATCTCCTGTAAACAAGTGTTACCAGATATATTTTAGATTTCTTGTTTTTTTATCGCATTCAGGGTTCCAATATCTACAGGTATCACAGTAGTTTAATGGGGTTTTTTTTGTATATTTTACCTCCTTTTACATTTAGCCAATTTGTCATATTCTTTAAAATATATTTTTATCCGTCTATATTTCTGAGATGAGGTATTATGTATACTATTTACATTATTATTTAACCAGGTGGATAAAGACGTTAGTTAAATCCAATGACAGTGTGACTTCAATACCTGGTTAAGGCGGTGGAGAACTCGGAGAGGGAATCAACAATCATCTCCACTTTTATATTTTATTAACAAACTCTGTGTTTCCCCACAAAATTGCAATTAACCATCAAATGCATTGGTTTACAAACATTACCTCGAATAAGAATTTGTTAGCTAGTTCGATCTTCATTATGTGTATTTGATCGGGATTTTTCACTTCAAAATAAAAGTGAGTTCAATATCTGGTTAAGTCGGTGGAGAACTTGGAGAGAGGAATTAACAGGAGATGACATGGCACGTGGAAGTAGAATAGTATACCCCAGCGAGCGAAATAAGGGTTCAGTTCGACATTCCATCTACTTGAAGAAGGCCGGAGCATACAACAGCCGAAACATTGTGATAAATATGGCAACAAAGATAAGGACAATAGACCCAATAATGTAAATAGTATATTTTTATTTGATGACACTGTTATTCATATATTTCCCTTCCACTATTATCGAGTAACACTTCCTACCGATTGAGCGAGGATAAATCTAATAAAATCTCCATCACTCTACTCAGTATTTCGTCAATGCTTTTGTGAGAATGGTTTTGATATTGATTTTCCCTGTCATCTTCTTTAGCAAATACTCCATCAATTATAAAGGCGACGGCGTTCTTCCTATTCCCAAAATCTATCCAGTTCCCTAACTGGCTTCACATATCTTCCAAGGATTTCCTTCACTTTGCGTTTTGTTCTGTCGTCATCAAGGGAGGCAATATCCACTGACAGATTTCAATAGACCGAAAAAAATTAGTTGGAATAATTTTGGAATTCCAGATATTAAAGAACAGTTATACAAGATATTAGATCGAGCATGTTAAAACACCACATCATTGGGAAGTCAGTGGAGTGAAAATAATCTGGAAAGTTAGAAAAATACTTGTGTATTCATACAAGAACAAACTTTTGCTCGCTCCTACAAAAATCTTATATTTCAACCGATTTTAATCTGTTCTGGCAATAAATACATCGTCAGCATCGGATACTCTCTCTCATTTGGAGTTGAGTATATTTACTGTGATTTTTTTTTTTGTAGAATCTGTAGTATAATTCTTAGCACTCGCCCCTCATCAAGAATAAATGTTGTTATATAAGTTTACCTTAGATGCTTTGTGAAAAGGTTTTACGGCCATAATCTTATCTACATTAAAAGTAAAGCTCTGTGAAAGCAATTTATAAATACTAATAATTCAACTCTTCCTATACATCTTCAAACATAAATTATTGTTTCTGCCTGAAAGAAGATATAAATTCAAGTTCCCACAAACATTTTAAGAGAAGATAAACAGATATTTTTCCATTTTTGAATATCTTCCAGTAATATTTTGTATCTAAAATTGAACCGTACATTAAGAACGGTATCTTCATATAAAATGTGTCATATGTAGAAAGTAAAATGCTGAATGTATTATTGAAAGCACAACATAAATAATTATTTGTCTAAGTTTCTGAGATCACTCTGTTAACGCAATATTTTTTTTCTCTGCTTTAGGATTTTTATTATAAAGTCGATATAAATTCAGAAACGAAAACAGAAATATACTACAATAATTATTACATGTAATCTGATAGTTGATTAATAAGTTTATTTGTTTTTTACCGTTTGTCGTCTGAATTTTTTTTTTTTTAGTGTTCCCCAGAATAAACAATGCATTTTAAATTGAACGTAGAGCAAATATCGAATTACTTGTTTCGGACATTTTTCTTCTCCGAATCAAAAAAAAAAAAAAAGAAACGTGTGGAAATCGATGAACGTCTCTTGCAACCTGATAAACAATGATCCTTAAATAATTCGCTCCGAACTGAGCTAGTTATTGTATTTATAATTGTTCTTTCCTCCCTGTCTGCCCTCATTTAATTTTTGCGGCGATCTGTACTCTTGCAACTTTTACACTGATGAGTACTCCTGTTCCCTTTGCAGCCGATTCGTAATCTTTCCCTTTCTAGTGTCTATCAGTCCTCCTTCAGCTTTGCATTGCCGATCCATACGCATTTGTCTTTTCATTGCCGACATGTCCTCCTTTTGCTTTTTCCTGTCAACCTGTCTTCCTTTTGCTTTTTCCTGTCAACCTGTCTTCCTTTTGCTTTTTCCTGTCTTCCTTTTGCTTTTTCCTGTCTTCCTTTTGCTTTTTCCTGTCTTCCTTTTGCTTTTTCCTGTCTTCCTTTTGCTTTTTCCTGTCTTCCTTTTGCTTTTTCCTGTCAACCTGTCCTCCTTTTTGCTTTTTCACTGCCGACCCGCCCTCTTTGCTTTTTTGCTTCAGATACGTGCCCTTTTACCTTTTTGCTGCTGATTCGTCCTCTTTTTTGATGTCATTCTTTCTATTATTAATATCAATGAGTTAATTTTAAGCATTAACAATGACATAAATATTTCCATTCCCGCTAATACACGTAACTCGGAGAAAACGTCTGTTTCGTACAATCAAATTAGTCTCTCTCATTTTGTTTATTTTCCTGCAATTCGCAAGATTTTGAAAAAAACAACAAATTCCGTTTTAAAAGTCGAATTCTGAAATGAGATTATTTTGAGGTCATATTCATTCATTTTAAAATCAAATTTCCAACATTGATTTCTATCTTGGCCGTAAGGAAATAGGGTTTCACGTCAAGCACAAATGAGAAATTTAATGAGCTTTCAAATTGCACTACTTTCAGTAAAAACGAATGTGTTCATTCTAATCTGAATTAAGACAGCTAATGATAGATACAAACTTATATATATGCACCGACAAAGGAAGATATTTATAGGTTTAATGCGAGATCGTTATGAACTGGCAGACAAAAATGCACCTAATTCGAACTTACTATAACGAGACAAAAAGGTTAAAATATACAAGTTCGGAGAGAGTTTAATAAAAGAATAAAAATAGCGAAGTAATTTACACTAGAAATAATGTATTTTTTCCGCCGTTACGATTAACAACTGTTTTCATTTAACTGGAGAAAAAATTGGAAATGTTTGTAGATATAAAATGTTTGGATAGACAACGCAATGTCGAAATGAAACGCGAAAGTTTTATTTCCATACCTGAAAAATGTAATACAAGTAAAGTTGAAAATTAGACGTACAGTTAAAATGGTGCATAAAATCTGAAATCAAAATGGAGGCCAACATCGACAGAAAATTCAAAAGAATGAATTAAATTTGACAAACAAAAAGTAACCCTTTAAGAAAGGTATCACTAAAGAACTGATTCTATCGAATCGGTACGAGTACCTCTCCAATAACAATAATAACAGCAACGACGATAATAATAGCAATAATAATGATAGCAATAAGATTACTAGTAGTAGTAATAATAATGATGATGATGATGATAGCAATTAGTAATAATATTAATAATAGCAATAAGAATAGTAATAATAATGACAATAAGAATAGTAGTAGTAGCAGTAATAATGTCAACAATAAGAATGGTAGTAGTAATTTTAATTATAATAATAATGATAGTCGTAAGGGTAGTAGTAGTAATAATAATAGTAATGATACCACCAAGAATAGTAATAATAATGATGATAGCAAAAAGAATAGTAGTAGTAGTGTTAATAATAATGACAATAGTGAAAGCAATAAGAATAATAGCTGTAATAATGATTATAGCAATAAAAATAATAGATGTAATAATGTTAGCAATAAGAATAAAAGCAATAATCATCTGCCAGATTGTGGATATACTTTTGCCAGTTAAAAACAGGGGTAAAAATATTTGTTACTGTTTCTCTTCCCGGTTATTCTTTTTTATCTTTTTTATTTACGCCAGGAAATTGAAGTCTGGATGGAATTCAAAGTCAGTCAGCAATAATTATCTAAGAAACTTTAATTTATGGTGAAAACAATTCACCCTAAGGGATAGGAAAGTAGGCTTTTTACTTTGTGGTCATGACATCAAATGTACTATAATAAATTCTCAACCACAGATAGCTTACGTACAGAAGGATGCCTTGCTCAAGAGAAACTTTCTTCACGGAAAATCTTTCTAGACTAATTAAGCAAACAGATTTTGTTCAGACGTCTTTTCAGAAGTCCTTTTTGATATATGAAAAAGAAAGAAAAAAAGTTAAAAGAGTACGGTAATTGGCGGGCCGTACTAAAATTCTTCTCGAGCTTAATGTGACCCGGTGATTGCCGACTCAGGATCTAGAAGGTTGATTCAAAGCCACCAAGTTCAGAATCGGGACTGGAACAATATGAGTAGGAGAACCAACACGAACAAATATGTGAACCTGGCTAAAATTTAGCTCTTCGTACACAAGACAAGTGAATTACAGGAACTTCCATAAACGCCTAACCTGCGAGCTGGTAGCAGAACACTTTACAACCTCGCAGAAATTAAATATACGATCGTTTCTATCATAACATCACATTTCTGAGATTGGCGGAAAACAATCGACTATTAATTTTCTACTGTTTAACATTATACATTGTAAAAGTTTTATGGTAAACACATTCCACATTTGGAAGATAGGCATCGTGCGAACTCACTCATTTGCCCAAATACACAATATATTACAAACTCTAATATAACAGATATTATTAGATCTATCGACATAGTGAAGGATTTAATATATATATATATATATATAATCATCACTTTATAAGACGCCAGGAGTGTTGAAACAAAATGGCTATTTTTGTAATCATTTTATAACATATTTATGTTGTAATTTTCGAATAAATTATATTTGCCCTATTCTGTATTGAGCATTCTTAGGAATAGTACTTTTTGGTTATTGAAATTTATTCCGTATACACCAATCCTATACGTGTGTGTATATATATATATATATATATATATATATATATATATATATATATATATAATGTGTGTGTTTATCTGAGTTTACTTGTATCTACTTTGAGGAATACGTTTCAATATCTGTTATCCTTTTGATGTTTCTTTCGTTTAATCTGTTTCCAAACATATATTAAAAGCCTTCACTAATTATTCATACTCGTTGAAATGCTTTCATCTGTTATCAGTAATTTCCGACTTTCGGTGAAATTAGATTTGTACATATTCAAATAAAACTGGAGCCTCCCACAGATAGGGACAAGCTGGGTACTGAAAAATTAACGGCGTAAAGGAAGAATGACTTTTCCTAGAAAATCCGATATTGGCTTATTTGATCAGATCTTGTGAAATGGGCTACGATTTAGGATTTTACTAGGCTCCTTGTGTTAGAGGATGTTGCATTTTCAATATTTTTGTATCAACCACAATACAGACAGACATTGAAACATCTTTTTCTTTGTTTTAAATCTCGTTTCTCTCATTCTATCTTTGGTTCTTTCTCTTTTTTTTTACCTGTCTGGCTAAGTCTCTCTCCCTCCCTTTTGCTGGCTAAGTCTCTCTCCCTCCCTTTTGCTGGCTAAGTCTCTCTCCCTGTTTCCCTTTTGCTGGCTAAGTCTCTCTCCCTGTTTCCCTTTTGCTGGCTAAGTCTCTCTCCCTGTTTCCCTTTTGCTGGCTAAGTCTCTCTCCCTGTTTCCCTTTTGCTGGCTAAGTCTCTCTCCTGTTTCCCTTTGCTGGCTAAGTCTCTCTCCCTGTTCCCTTTTTGCTGGCTAAGTCTCTCTCCTGTTTCCCTTTTTTGCTGGCTAAGTCTCTCTCCCTGTTTCCCTTTTGCTGGCTAAGTCTCTCTCCCTGTTTCCCTTTTGCTGGCTAAGTCTCTCTCTCTCTAAGTCCCTGTTTCCTTTTGCTGGCTAAGTCTCTCTCCCTGTTTCCCTTTTGCTGGCTAAGTCTCTCTCCCTGTTTCCCTTTTGCTGGCTAAGTCTCTCTCCCTGTTTCCCTTTTGCTGGCTAAGTCTCTCTCCCTGTTTCCCTTTTGCTGGCTAAGTCTCTCTCCCTGTTTCCTTTTTTGCTGGCTAAGTCTCTCTCCCTGTTTCCCTTTTGCTGGCTAAGTCTCTCTCCCTGTTTCCCTTTTGCTGGCTAAGTCTCTCTCCCTGTTTCCCTTTTGCTGGCTAAGTCTCTCTCCCTGTTTCCCTTTTGCTGGCTAAGTCTCTCTCCCTGTTTCCCTTTTGCTGGCTAAGTCTCTCTTTTCCTTTGTCTGTTTCTCTCCCCCTTTCTCTTCGTTTGAACTTAGCTCGCCGATTCCACTTCATACACTCTACACTGTTACTACTGCAGAAATTCAATCCTTACTGAATTATTACCTTGTCCTAAGCCAAGCTAAATTAATAACAAGAGCCGGACTATTTTCATGACGAACCTTAAAGACCTAACCAATTTTATTTATACTTACTGCACACTAGTAACGTTTGGTTTGGTTTAGCAAGACTCAATACAATCAATTGTACCATCAACTCTGGATTTATCTACTTTTTATTTCTTCGCTTTTCCCCAGGAATAGTATTATAAATGGAATAACAGCGTGGGCACGAAATCTTTTGCCCTATTCTTAGCCCAACTTCAGCTCTAAGCCATCATACATTTGTTCACACGATATGATAAGAAAGACTGGTTTGCCGTTCGAAACGTATACCCCCCACACACAGACATCAATTGTAACGATAAGAAATAAAATACAAAGTAAATTATTTGAAAAATGCAAACATAACTTAATGTTTTGGCTATATTTTTAGTCAGAAATAAGTGTTTCTTTTCTCGATTTAGATTGATGAACTACGAATAAATAATTAAGATTGCTCCTTGGTAATCTGAAAACGAGGAACTCTTGTAGAAAACAATCTACAGGTTTTTTCCTGAAGAGCTTGTAAGTAAAAATGGGGAAAAATAATGGAGGCCAATTGATTCAACGTTAGCTTAGAGAACGTTCTAAATAACCTGTCAATCATATATAAAGTATTTCACAATGCATTAAACTATATATTTTCACAGAATTATTACATGTACAATTTATGTTTCAGTATACTTTAAAAAAATATTACGCTTCTTCTTCTCAGCCTATGAAGATCATTTGTGTGTCTTTATTCATAGAGAGGAATGAACCATTGGGCTGAACCCAATGCATGTTGGTTGGGGCGTATGTAAGACTGATTGGCGATTATGTCCCTTTCGATTCATGATCGGCAAAGTTTATTTGCGTGCGTGAATATAACGAACCCGACTCGAATTCGATTTCAGCCCTCATATTTCTCATTGTCGAGCTGTTATCAATTATAGCACCTAGTATTCTGAACCGGTCACTTCTGTAAGTAATGGCAAACCTTGACATGGCTTACCTCGTTAATCAGACGAGAACTAGTGTTTCAAGATGATACGGGCGTAAACCCTATTCATGTTTATAGTTTGTCAAAAACAAAGATAATATCAATTCATCACTGACCAGATCTTGAGTTTTCTACAGTCTGGGCGAACGGTACATACTTAGTGTGGTTTAGTGCTTTGAATGTCTCTTTGGTTTCAAGTGTTCAAGTGGATTTATTACATTAAATCCGTTTTAAAATATATGGGGAAAGGATTAGTTCCTTCCATCGCTCGAACAAATATCTGACTAATTCTGCAGTGTTTTATCTTTTACATGAAAAACATTGAACCCAAAATGGAGTATTACTGTCATATTTACGCTAGGGATGCTCAATCCTCAATTTCCAGCCGGCGTAGAGTTCATCTTTGTTCAGGTTGTGAGGAACATTTCTTTCCAACATTGAAACATTCTCACAGATCTAACATTACAATTTTGTTACTGCTCCATCGTTATCTCTAGTGTAAATGTTCAGATGAGTTGCCTTATTTAGTCTTATCAGTTCAGACATTTACAACTAAGACAGAACTTGCTATTTCCACGGAGACTGCTTTCTCACACGAACTGCCACTTTATGGGCAGACGACCTGGTAGGAAAACGGATAAACGTGCCCGCAATCAGACGTATTTTCAAAAGGACGGTTTTTCCCATGACACCGCTTTTTTTTAACTACCTTCATTTTCAGGCCATGTTTATTATCTTAAAAAATGATATTAGAATTGTAATAAAACATGTATACATGTTGAAATTGAACTATTTTTTGTTCATAAATTTATAACCATTTACTATGAACCAACTAAATGAAAATCCTTAACTTTTTTTCCAATTTTGGAACAGTTGGCAATTAGACGACGCTTTGCCAACCATTCGAATAAATAATATAATTGTGTAAAGACTATCTAACAAATAAATAGTGCTTGTTTTTTGTTGTTGTTGTGAATTCTAAAGAACAAGGTAAATGTATAAATTCACTTTCATATGTTCAGGTTTTATTACAATTCTAATCGTTTTTTGTTTTTTGTTTTTAAACAAATATTGCCGAAGTGTGAAGCCTTCCTTTTGACACTACGTCTTGCTGCGGGAACGTTTCTCCATGTGGGTCAGCTGGGATTGCTACCGTGAATATCCCATTCTCAACATTTCCAAACAAGTATGAGTTGTCGTCCTCTCATATCGCCATAATCATTTTTTAACACCACGTCTTCCATTGGTATCGGTCAACTTATTCAATATTACCATTTCTTTGGTTGTAATATTCTACCTTAAGAGGCTCTCTATCTTTTGTGTTCAATAAAAAAATTAGTATATAAAATAATCAATAGTTTATTCTTGAATATAAGATTTTCGGCAGGGAATTTTCAATATCGTTTCGACTATTAGTTCTACCAACTTGTTTTGGTAGGTGTTAAGCTAAGCTCACGGACGCATAAGGTCAAATGTGCAACAGGAAAAAGATTGTGTAGCACCAATATTCAAGGTAGAAGAGCTTCATACATTAAAAAAATCTCCTTTTGAAAAAAATGTTTTTTTCAAATTGAACACCAGCCACAGACACTGGTAGGAAATAGGTTTTGCTTATCATGAGCTAGTTTAATGAGTTTAACTTAGTCTGATACAGAAGTGGTGAGAAATGTAGATCGAATTGGTACCTGAGATCTAGATATTAACTAACACTTTATAGTTGGCGTCCACCTTGTTATGGTAATTGCACAATCCCAAAAAAGAAACTTTTTTTTTTATTGCGCTCGCAATGAGTTCTTAGTTGCGCAGTAATTCACTAAAGTAAGAACCGTAAAAAGGCCGTTAACAATTTAATCTTCCGCGCAAATCTGATCAGCCGTGAATGTATGCAAACAACGCTAGTAATGGCTGCCGTGCCTTAACGTGAATGAATCCGAATTTTTTATTGTCGATAACTCCTAAACGGTAGATCTTACCAAAATTACTTTATTTTCGAATTAAACCTGTATATTTACACCTAAATCGGCAGTTTTTATTACATATTTAGCGCGTGGCTTAAAAACCAAATTAGCCGAAATATCTTCAGGATATGGTAGATTTTATATTCAACAATTGATTATGCAAGGCAAACATCTGTTGATCTAAAACAAAGGACATATCATACAAGTATTGACAATTATGACAATGTATCCGAAATATAGATTTTAGCTGAGAAGACGCGGTTATTATACAATGTATCAGGATTAGTAAAAAGGGTATATTACACAATATTTACAGCATATACCTTTTGTAAACAGCGTTAGATTTTTAATTAATTTCTGCGAATACGATACTTTAAAATAGTACCTCTTTATGTAATTAGTACTAAGAACGGAATGGTTGACTGAACGAACACTTAAAGATGGTTATTAAGATGGTAAATGATTGAGATGAGCTGTTCGTCTAAAAGTCTCTGTAAATAATGCCATTAAGAAGATAGTAATCTTGTTATACGATAGCAAAAGACGAGATAAAACTAATCAAGCCTGGGACTTGCTGCACTAGCGTTTCCGGTGCGACAGCAACCTCACGAATGGCGTTACAATTCCATCGTACTGCTTAGGCTTCTATATTAAATTCTAAAACAGCGAATAACCTAGTTAACGTGTTTGACAGAATTGCTAGCAGAAGAGGGACAAAGAGATCTAGTGATGTCGTAGAACTTAGAGCCACAAAAGTCAGCTGCGGATGGCTACAATCTTTCACGACATAAAAAGACATGGTATCTTTTATGGAATACTAAATGTTCGACTGTGTGCGTGCTTGTGTGAAGCGTCTGTCTGGAGCATAATTATTTAAGTTAATCTGATTTAAGCGAATAAGATTTTAAAATACGAGTTGTTTATACTGTAAGTATTTCTATTTTAACTTTCTTCAAACAGATAATTTTTTAAATTAAAATATTTTTCAATTAAAGATACACAAAGAGATCCTGCTTTGCTGTTTCGTCCAGTTATTTGGAGAGTAATTTTTTATATTTCAGATTTCCTTAAGCAACAATATTTTTTTTTTTTATTAATATTTTCTGGCATATTAAAATATATTTTTAAGTTAACGTGATTTATGTTTGCTGGAAGTTTTATTTCTATTAAATGCTGTAAACAATCAGTTAAACATGAACTTGTAAACCAAACCAATAATGACACGAACGAATTGAGATATTTAACTGAATCCTAATAAAATTAACATTTATTTCAATGGAATATTGAAATCAACTTCAAAGTTTTATAACCGGAACCGTCAGTGACCCAACGGGTCACGGGTAGTCTCGTATAAAATAAATCTGACAGTACCGTTTGCATTCTCTCTATATCTCGGGTAGAGTGTTCTATTTACACGAGCCATGCCTCTTCCAGATGTATCGGTTATTTCCCTTTAACTTAACTATTAAACACACAACTCTTTGGGTCTAGTCGATGTATATACCCAACATCTTTATCCACTGGGCCATGTGTCCTTGAGGATATCTGTGTATTAATTTTTGGAACTTATAAACCCAATGTCTCAACATTTTTTACCTGTGCTCATATTGCAATATTTCGGTTATCATTGCAATTTGTGTTATAATTCATTGCTTTTCTCTAGCACTCCTTATTACCAGTGCCCATATTCTATTCATTTCTATGCCTGATCAGCTCAGGAGATGTTTGTTTCCTAGCATATGTGCTGATTCCTTAAATTTTCGTATTTTCCATTGATGCTTTCTCTCTCTCTCTCTCTATTATTTCAACATTATCACACAGGGGTACAATGATTTCCCTCCATGGACTAAATAAAGGGTTCGATCGAAATTCTAATCACACGAAGAAGGCCGGAGCCTACAACGGTTAAAACATTGGGAATATGGCGATGAGGATAACAGTCCGAATAATTTAAATAATGCATCGTTTGCATTAATTTCTGATATAACCGTTTCTTTATCTTACTCCCAGTACATCT